TTACGTGTGAGTGTGCGTGTGAGCAGGCGCATATTTAAAGAGGTAGCAGAGAAATGCAATCAGAGCAGCAGATGACGTTCTTGACTCTCCTCGGGTTCAAACGCGGTTCAAAAATCTGCTAAAGTTCAATATTCAGTCTTTCTAATTTGAATAATTTCCCAGGGTGCAATTAATCAACAAAAAAACATCTGTTCTGAAGGGCTTCTTTTAATTGGATAGAGATAAATTGGGTGTCACTTTTACCAAATGAGTCAAAATATTTCATTGTATTCTTTTTCCCATAAGGCCGTGAAACAAATAACATACTGACGCTAATAAAAGATCGGTACCATTAAATATGAAATACTTTAAAGATCTGAATAAACTCAACCAATCCATGAATTTCCCTATCTGCCAGAAGCTTTTTCTTTTTTTTGGTTTCCCGCGTGCCGTGAGCTGAAGTGTGATTCATGAGTGGATGCAGTAAGTAGTGTTCACTAAAAGGCGCGTCGCGTCGTCGTTTACAGCATATATTCCGAAGGCCTGGTTACCTGAAAGCTGAGCGGATGCAGCAAATGAACGAAGGACTCAGTAGCAGAGTTAAGAGGGCTTTAGAAGAAGGCAGAGTGCTGAGGTGGGTTTCGAGTAGAAAAAGGAATACACACTATTTGTATCTAGAATATTTAACACGGGATCCCAACGTTACAAACCCTTTTCAGACGTTTTTAGGGAAAGCAAAACACACGGGGAACCTGCTGCTCAAAGCCAAGTGGCACGAGGGAGACGCCCGCGTTGGGCGTGAAGTACTGTTTACATAGAAGACAGTACTTAGGACGGGGCGGTTATCAGAGGCGAACCCCCGCTGCCTGTGGTTGTATGCTTCATTCACATAGCAGACTCTCAAATACGATTTGCTGATCGGATCTGATTTTTCTGGATTATGTATTCTTTAAAAATCAGCTTGATTAAAAAGCAGTCTGTGTTGGTTAAACTGCTTCTGTTACCAATTATTATGATTTTTAAAACGTGCTATTTTCTTTTCCACGTCTGCAGTGATACAGATTTTGCATATTTTGTTATTTTAACAGCTTCGCGATTTCAAATTTGTTTTTGGGGGGAATTATATGCTTTTTCGCTCTCTCCTAACTCTAATCAGCTGCGATGTGAACGCGGGTCTTAACATGCATTTAAACACGCGACGTGATGCTCATGAGGCCTCTGATTTATTGACTTTTATAGGTTTATATTGAGATTTGAGGTAAAACAAAATCATCCAGCATTTGAAAAGAAAAGGGAAATAAAATGAATTTGACTGTACACATACACAAAAAAACCTTCTAACGTAGTATTAAAATAAATTGCTGCGGCTATATATATATATATATATATATATATATATATATAAAGAGGTAGTATGTTTGGTTGAACGCAGCGCCAGAGCTTATAGCGGCACGTCATCTGTCTGAGACAGAGAGACAACAGGAAACACTTAAGAGGCAGAGATGAGGACCACGCGAGTATAAAGCGACGGTTAACACAGAGAAACATTGGGATCCACTCAACTGGTCTACTGGCGAGAGGATTCTACCAGACAACCTTCTTCTTTATACAGCTGGCATCTAGTGTCCCATACGTTCTGATGTAAAAAAAAAAAACTTTGCAAAGTTTGCTGAGGAGAGAGATCTGTGGTTGGTGTGTGTGTGTGTGTGTGTGAGTGAGAGAGAGAGTGTTGCATGAGTCTATGTTTGGTTTCCTTAAAGGCTGTTGTGGAAAGTCATCCTGTAAAATATTGAGGTATCAGTTCAATGTTTCCAGCTGAGTGAGGTTTCCATAAGTAAGGCTACTGAGGTGGAGCATGGGTTGAGGGGAGGAGGGCTGAAAGGGGCCGAGAGCGGCTAAAGAGCGGAATGAGCGCGATGTTGCCGAGCTCAGAGAGGCCTGTCCCACCGAGGGCGCTCCCGTCGCCCTGACCTGCACTCCTTTTGAAACAGATGTAGAAGTTGAATGTAAAAAAGTCCAGTTTCTCATGTGTTTCAACAACTACTCGTTAACAAACAATGATATTTTTTGTATTTTAAAAATCTAAAATTCCAAGAGGTTATGAGAAACGGTAGCGTCACACTTTGGGTTTCTGGAGGCGACATCTCGTCAGTCACTGCACACTCTTGCCTGTAGAGCGCGCCACTATGTCTCTGCCTGTGGCAGATTCTCATTTCTAAAAAAATACTGAGATCTTCTATACAGATTAGACAGTCTTCTGGAGGTCCAATCCAAAGGGCTTTCGGGGTCAAACAGGACAAAAAAAGGAGCCAATATCCGCATTGTCTTTCTTTTCTTTTCCACAGTAAAGTGACACGATCCAATTCCACAGCAGCTGTTTCACTAAACTTCAGACTCCCATCAGCCCTTGTGTGAACCATAGTTGTACGAAAGCAGAGCCTGAGCGGCTGCCGAGTTAAAGCTATGAAGAGTAGTCCTGCTGTAATAATAGGCTATTGCAGAAGAAGAGGAGAAGAAGAAGAAGAGGTTAGATGGTCGGATGGTGAATGAAGAGGTACGCGGCCCACGCCGCTGCTGCGACAGTTTGCCATTGGCTAATTCCCGTGTAAGTCGGTTGAGGCAGTGTTAGTCCATGATTACTTGATTGTGTTTCACATCCTGCTTCTGGAAAAGCAGATGTAGCGGGGTTTTTTTCTCTCAGAGCCTGGGACTGCCTTTTCCATCGACAAATGAGACGATTTTATCTCCACGGGGTCCCCCCCCCCCCCCTTTTAGGGTGCAGCTCCAGGTGAAACAAAGCTGCATTGTCTTTTTTTGTTTTATTCCATTAAAACAATGGAAAAGGAAGGAGAGTGAGTGCCAGTGTCCCTTCCCGGTCCAAACAAGAAAGTGAAGCCGCATCTTTATTTAAAAAAAAGAAAAGGGCTATTCCGTTTTCGCATGCTTATCAAGGTTAACATGGGGGGTGGAGCTTAACTGCTTTGGGTGGAGCTTAACCGCTTTGCTCTTGGAAAAGGCTCCAGGAGTCCACCAGGTCTCACTTCTGCTTCATTACGTCACAGCGCAGCAAGCCAAGCGCTAGCTAGAGACAGCACACTCTGACACATATTGACAATCTTGAAAAGAACAAAAGAAAATAGAGAAAAAAAAAAAGATTTTCACCAAAAACAAAAACATTATGAATATACTGTATAGTTGTCGAAAGCTTATTGATAGACTTTAGAAAGGGAAAAGATGTACATCCATAAGCTTGGAAACGGACAGAGAGGACGCTTCCTGGTGAGGAGACACTGAGTTGTTGGGTGCCTTTAAAAAGGCCGCCGGATTCTCACACTGATGTTTCAGAGTGTTCATGGTGCACGAGACTCAGCCAGTGGGAATGATCAACCAAAGCAACCCCCCGCTGGGAATGTTACAATTATGACACATCAGATTGCCAGGTCTTGTTCATTGCACTAGTAAGAGCGTCATTCAATACAGGGTTGGACCTATTCCGGCCATTTATTAGGGCCTGTATTGGTATGAAACCAGGCTCTTTCAGGTGTGTTGATTTGTGAAAAACACACCAATATCAGCATTTTCTTGCTATAAAATTGGTTGGATCTGAATTTGCAGAATGCTGGGTGGTTTTAGTCGGCTGTTAAAAAGCCATCGTGGCCAATCTTCTTTAGCGCACGCTGAAACAACTCAGCGACCGGACCAGGATCGCCAAACTCTGCCCTTTCGAGTTGAACACAATGTAAAGAGTCCATCTTCTGATTGCATATAGTGCCGTATCTCCGAGAGCATCTCGCCATCAACAACTGAATTCTCTTAGTATTTTGCCTACATTAATCTCTAAACTATGTACAGACTTAGCAAGTGGTATTTACAGAGTTTGTCCACAAGGGGGTGATCCAGGTCCGCATGAGGGGTGAGCACGGGCTGAGACATATGATATGATATGTAGTGATGTTGATGAGTAACATCCAAAACCTCGCTTATGTGGCTGGTGTTGAAATGATAAAGATGTGAAAAAAACAACTAAAAAAACTAGGAGGCTTGAGTTCTTTCTCCGTGTTTCATAACTGCCACAGGCTGTGCACTGTTTAACAACTATACATTGCTACCTTCTGTCGATTATTCACTTGAAAAAATAAAAATGAAGGCTGATATTATCACTCAACAGTTTAAAATGCATGGCTCTGTATTGTAGCCATTTAATGTGAAGGTGCAACAATGATCACCATTTCATAAGAGGAGTTCTGAATCGTTTAGGAATGAAAATCTTGTAGTAATCGTTATCTCAAAAAAGTTCCACTTTTAGCTTACTTCTGCTGTTATTTAGCATGATTAGAAATCACAGTGATGCCTGGAGCTTCAAAAAAAAAGAAAACTAAACAATCTCTGTCTTATGATTGTAAGCTTACGCCACACACACCATAAACACCACGTCCAACAACATCACCAGACAAACGTTTCCCTGAGGCAGACAGCCGGCAGTTGGTTTCGGTCCAACTATATCTATCGCTAACTGTCTTAGCAGCAATCTAACCAGCCGGAAATAAAAAATATATATTTTTGGGATAGTCACTATCCACGAAACATGACGTCGTGCTTGCATGTGTCAGTCTACAAAATTCACAGGTCCCAGAGAAAAAGAAAAAAGAAAAAAACGACATCGTGCTTCCCTGCACCGAAGCCCCTCAGCCCGGCGCCTGCACACACCCCCTTGTGGTCCATCAATATTCTCATATACTGTACACACGTCACACAAATAGAAGGACTCCCCACACACTTCTCAGCGCTCTCTTGTGAGTGTGTGTGTGTGCATTTGTCTTTTGAAAGACAACACACACACACACACACACACACACGACTGAGGAGGGGCCTCCGAGTCCTCTATACAACACTCGGAACTATTTGCTTCCATGGAAGCAACCATGTTTCACTTTCTTAAATATATATATATATTCATATAAATACATATACATATATATGTATATATATATATATATATATATATGTATATCAGCTTATACGTTTCATTTATATTTATATAGCATTATACATACATTCTTGTTTTGTGAAATTCCCTTTTGTCTTGTGAACAGGGAATTCCAAGCGTAGCACATCCCTCCATCTCTCCGACCTCCTTTTACTCATTCCTCCAAATCTCACATCTCCTCTCACCGTTCCCGCACTGAAGCGTTCCGACTTAAACTGCTTCTCTTCGCTTCAGCTGACCGTCCGAGACCTCTCTTTGAAACACACACAGATACACGGGGCCAAGCAGCCCAACTACTTTGAAATTCCATTATAGTAAGCTTGCTGGCCATGTTGATGTTGAATATATTTTGATTACTTTGCCGTCAACAGCAGTTTATAGCTACCCTAACACGATTGTACTAACATCGCTTTCCACCCCGCAGGTGCCAGCGTGGCATATATATATTCCCGTCAGTCACCGAAGATGATGTGAACACTGAACAATGAACATTGATGTCATTGAGGATGATGGTAGGAGGGTGGCGCGCGCGGCCGTCACATCCATCAAGCTGTCTTCACTGTAAAAAAAAAAAGAAAATGGCAGGAATCTAGCGGGGATGTCCGGGGGAAAAATTGACTCATGGGAAGAGGCGAGTTTGGGGATTTGGAGAGGATCGGGGTCTGTTGTGGATGTCGATGAGTCAAGGATATCTGCCTGACTTAATGCGTCGCTGTGTTTTGCAAGTCCCGAGCTTTAAAATACAATCTGGCTATCTGAGAGCATATTGAGGTGTATTCAATCCATAAATCCAGGCATCTGGGTCTTGCAGCTTGAGGTCGGGAGGAGGAGGAGGATAGGGAGGTGATAATGAAGAGGTGAAGGTAACCGTCTAGCTATCCGACTATCCTTCACGTCCAGGTGTATCAGGGCTGGGGTTCTCTTGGGGGGGAAAGGGGCGGTAAGGGTTGGTTATCAGTGTGTGTGTGCATGCGAGCGAGCGCGCTGCCGCTGCCTCCTCCGCTATGACACCTCGCTGCCGAACACTTCCAGCACCAGCGGGGTGAGCTGCATGCTGTGCTCGGGCTGGAAGGAGAGCGAGCGGTACTGCTTGGAGTGCTCCTCGTTCAGGCTGCGCAGGTCGGCCAGCTTCTGGATCATCTTGGCGTAGAGGAGGCGCCCGCCGGGGTGGTTCACCTGGATGTAGGCCTGCAGCGTCTCCGACAGGTGGTCCTGGAGCTGCTCGATGCGGACGTGGTCTTGGACGCCGGGGCGGTCTGCCATCGGGGAGGGGGGGGCACAGGGAGAAAAGGAAAGCAGGGTAAGGTTCAGGTGGATGGGAAGAGAGAGAGAGAGAGAGCGAGAGAACGAGAGAACATCAGTCAGGACGTTCAAGCCCAGTTGAAACAATACTGTCCATTACAGAACTACATAAGACACACTAACCACGTTACTGTGTTTATGTGTATATATATCTGACTGGTTGCAATTCATCGTATATATTTTGCATATACAGTGCAATATAATGCGAGTTTTATCGTGAAAGAGCAGCGTTTTCTCTTTGGAGATGAATACATCTTCAGATTTCTGCGCTTGAATTTGTTCCCATCTTGAAAGAAGGCTTTGAACAGAAGCATTTATCAAAGCTCGTTGGCTCTTTAACTCACAATAGCGTTTAATAGTGGAACCAGACAGCCTTTGACATGTTCGAGATGGGGAATGACTCATCGCCTATTCTTGAAGTGGGACTTGCTGCTTGACCTCATTCAGTGATTTCGTTCGCTAACAAACATCCTTCACCACATGTGTGAATTCTTGGCTGTTCAGCAAGCGACACAGCCCCCTTGCTCCACTGTTTGGCAAAAAAAAAAAAAAAAAAGCACACAACACTAGCAGTACCTGGGGAGAGCAGGCAGATGGCCATGAGCAGCACGTGTTCCTCCTCGTGCAGGTTGAGTTTCTTCAGGCCGACCTGGAACTTCACCAGCGGCTCCAACAGATCCAGAGTGTGACCCGCTACGGTGGGGGGGGGGGGGGGCGACACAGAAACATACCGTTAGTGCTGCAGAGTCGGTTGCATCTTCTGCCACTAAGAGAGGCTTTTTTTTATTGATTCATAAATGAGAAACACACTTTATACAGCAGTGGGCTTCAAGGATGAAGCGTTACTCTCTTTTTGCCTCTTGCCCTGCATGTGTGAGTGACTAAAAGCGGAGTGTGTGTTTGCGGCTGCTTTATTGCTTCCATGAAAATACCTGAAGTCCAAATGTCACAGTCATGTGCAAATGTGCGTAGAAAAAGCAGTGTGTGTGTGTGATCATGTAAGGTTACGTTATATAAGGTGGGAGAAAAAGAAATGCTTGATGCTGTAGCCTTTGGGTGAACAGGGAAGAAAAGGTGTGTGTGCGTGTACGTATATACGTATGTATGTGTGTGTGTGTGTACTGAGAGGATGTGTCATCAATAAGCAAGGCCTGTGTGCGCAGTCTTTAAAGTCTGCTAAAGTACATAAAGTCTTTGTCTTTATGTACTTTAGCAGGTAAAACGCAAAAAAAACAAGGTCCACTTTTGCCATGCTTCCTTTTTTTTTTAGTTTCGAGATCGACAGTGAGATGTGACCGACCCTTTGTGACGTCGTTGATGCAGTATTTGAAGTCCGGCCCCCCGCAGCTCCAGGACATGTCCTCCAGACTGAAGGACTGGTTCGAACGCAGCATGATGATCTCAATGGCACTCGACTTCAACAGAGCGATCTGGTCTTCTGCGGTCAGCTCTCTGGAACACACACAGTCACAGATACGGGATGTTAATGGATCAATGTTCACAGGCACTGACAGGTTTGACACACTTATGACAAGGGGGGGTCTTTGGTGGTGTCTTTACTTCAGCTTCAGCTTTATTTTAGTTTTCTTTATTTTACTTTTTAACTTCAGGAGCAACAGTTGTCTTTGTATTCTATCAACTCCTCAAAAAACACTTATATTTAGTATTGCTTTAGTTGTAGAGGAAGAGTTTCTAATGAACATACAATTGAATTTCAATTTTCCATGAAAGAAAAGTTACAAAAATGTTTGTGTATTCTGTCAATTACAGTTCTCAGAAAAAAAAAGAAAATCATCAGGTCGGACTTTAAAAAAACAAAACAAAACATAGGAATCAACCCAAAAAATCTGTGCATTTCCAAAACAACAAGTAGGTTTTATGTTTGTAACAAAAGTATGACTAAGAGTTCTGCATCAAATCAAACAGTAGACAGAGACAACTGTCTACTGTTTGAGCTATCATATACATGGGGTTGGTGTGTGCTGGTGTGTGCTATTCAAGCCCAAAGCAAGAGCACCGGGCTGGGAAGCAAATTTGACATAGTTTCCAAATGGTAATTACAACTTCTGTGTCGGAGTTATTTTCCTAGGCCGAGAACGAGGCTGGACCGAAGGCTGGGAGGCGGGGTTAAAGGAAGCCCTACTGCGCCTGCTCTGTGGGCCCATGGATGCTTCAGATTGGCAGAAGATCCGGGTCATTCTATCTGAATCTTACAATCCCAAATCAAACATTTTTGACTTCATGCGCCACTTTCATAGGAATGAACGGGGCGTGCCTCCAACACTGTATCCAGTTCTCTTTATACATCCACGGTGGGCAATGTGTGGCAAACAACACTGAGTGCAAAAATTCACAAAGAGTGAATGGCGGCAGCTGATCACACCATGATTGTGCATCATTTGCAAACACCATCTGCCCAATCTCAAGGTCTGATCACAAAAGATGCTGAGTGCAATGTGCCCTTTTATTTTGCATCTGATTGCAATTATCCACGTGGCAAAATAACACTAACTGTCAGAAGGTTCTACTTAACCACCAACACGTAAATGTTTGTTCATGTCTGAGTGTGAGTGTGTGGTGGGGTGGACTGAGAAGCACAACAAGCACAATGAATGTATTAATGAATTATATGGTTACTGTAGCAACAGTTTCCAACCCCAGGCTGACCATAAAAGCACACACACACACACACACACGCACAGTGCACATGCAGAGCCCCCTATGTTTCATTTAATATTGACTGTATATGCAGTACTACAGTATGTGTATCTCCACACACTGACAGAAGCAGGTGTGACTTAAGGAAAGCCATAAAGGGTCCCCACTACTCGTGGAAAAAGCGTTTTCTGATGCTACGAATTTATTTTGCACTCAATAGAAAGTCTTTTTTGTTCTTGTTGTTGCAGCAGAGTTATTCCAGGGAAGAACTGAATTGATTGGATCGCTGCAGTGTTACAGTATATGAGGCATAGGTAAAAAATTGAAAAAGTAGTTAAGTCATTTTCAAACAGTATTGCCTGTATTAATAAAATGCTGCGGACTAAAGGCCAATTTTGCGATCGCTTCAACCCTTCTGAAACAAAAGGTTAGATTTGTGCAGGCAGAGGACCAACTACCAGGATCCTATTGAGCCGGAGCAACGTCTGTCTGAGGTGAATTGTTGTAGAGCCTGAGCTACTGTAAGCTATATGATTGAGCTTCCTTTCAGCAAAATATTATGAGTGAATTTGAGTTCCCTCTGGTAAACAGCTACGCAGTGTACTCAGTCTTTCATTGTGAAAGGCAAGAACAGATGGAGTGGATCTGCACTGCCTTTGTCATGGCTGAATTAGTTAATTAAGTTAATATTCACGTTCTGTGTGAAAGTAGATGACCACAACAAGGTATTGACGGGGTGTGTAAGAGGCCTGGAGACCTTGAATGAAAACTGTGCAGCACAGTCAGGGACAAAATAGGGTGTGTGAGACTGAGAAGGTAAACACTTTGAAGAAGTGCTTCACAACACTTTCAAGAAGTGCTTCACAACACTTTCAAGAAGTGCTTCACAACACTTTCAAGAAGTGCTTCACAAATCAACGGCCAGAGTTGCCCTGAGGTTTAAGGGTGTTACCGGAGTTAATCTCCAGGATGAGAACACATCCGAACACCTTTAGTCAATGCTTAGAGCTGCATAGACCTCCAAGTTATCATCTTTTTGCAGCATCTTCTGGGTAAACAATGTATTTCCAGACACTCTTACTCTATATTCCCAGAGGAAATACTACATACAGCTGAGACTCGGCTCCACAATGAGGTGAGCAGCAGGAATAAATGTAGGTAAATGCAAAGCTAGCACGTCAACGATTATTGTTCCGTTTCATAACATGCAAACACACATGCATCATGCGCACCCATACGGGTCATACAAGTTATATTCATTAAAGAGAGTCGAGTTCATAAGTAAAAAATAAAAATCAAATTGATCACTTTATTTAAATTGAGGACTTCTATGGAGCGACGTCTTTGTGAAATATGAGGACAGGCATTCGACAGGCTTTCGCTCTCAGAGTTCTGAAGAATAGGAATTGTTTTTATGAATGACAGAGAAAATCTTCAGCACCAAGGACAGTTATAAGGACCCTATTTTACTGTTACCGTGGTAACAGGCTGGTGACGGAGCTTCAAGTGTACACCACGGACGGATTACCCTGCAATGAGTTTGCGTGTATAAAACATAGTAACACGGTTAGTACATGTTTTGTATGGGGCTTAAAGCGGCCAGTCTAGTGGTCGGTTGTTGCAATGAAGCTGACCGACATTGCTTTAGAGCCACTGTGCTGCAGCGCTGTACTTTACGGTCAAGTGCTTTTCAGATTTAACTATAATAAATGTACTACATTACATTGGTGTGATATCCGGGACAGCCCCCACTGCTGAATGTCCGTTCCTGTGTGTCGGTTTGTACCTGAAGCCTGGGATCATCTTGGCGAAGCCGATGACCTTCTGGATGCTGTAGGAGACCAGGTCAGCCAGGTGGGGCAGCATAGAAAGCTTTGTGTCCTCCTCACTGGAGTCTGGACTGCTCGCTCCGTCCTGGTACATCATTAACAGGCTGCTGAAGTTCATCTTGGTGTCCACAGATTCTGTTTGAGGAGGGGATTAGGAGACAAGATGAGCACAGAGGAAAGAAAGCAAGGAGAGGGCCGAGGCAGAGTAAGGGAGTGATTAGGGTAGGGAAGGGAAGCATGCTGAACACACAGAAAAGGCAAAGAGCCAGTGAGAGGTTGAACATGGCAAAACAGGAGGTGAGTTCACAGATTGAAAATCAATTAAAAAAACAGAAATAAAAAGCTGGAAAAATAAGTAGTTTATTTCTTTATTGGCATTCCCAGAAGCTTCTACCTTGGGACGACTAACAACTATAATGAAGCTATCATTTTGAAGCTAAAATGAGCAATATAAGAAAAATCTACATTAACACAAAACGTAGATGAGTACAAATATACATAACGTTTAAAATATGATTTTTTTTTGTATGATTTTAAAGCCTTTGTTTTGGTAATTGCAGACCATTTCAGACTTGTAAAGACCTGTGGATATGCCGTTATATTTACATGAAATAACCCCAAAACAGTCACTTTATTTAATTGCACTTATCACTTCCCATCCATCAAGGACAACAGGCTACTGTATATAGGTAAATATACAACAGCCTTCGCAATAAATATACCATTAAACACATTGAGTTTTATGTCATGAGTGTAAGAAGTATGCACCAGTGTTTCCCATTAATTACTGTGGCCTTGATGAACTGAAAATATATTTACACTTCTCAACAGGTGGTGTGCCTGAGGGGAGGGACGGGGTCCGATTCTCCTCAGAGTGCATCAGGGGTTCTGCCCGTCTAAAAATACGGACCCCTGTCTCATTTACCACGTTTTTGTGCTTCTAGGCTCTTAATTGTACTCTCAAAGTGCACCACATTGATGCATTTAACTTTAAAATGCACTCAATTTTCTTGCCCTCCCTAGAGGGTTTGAAGTCCACCGACCACAGTCTCACAAAATCCTGTGGGAAACACTGATGCATGCATAGCCCATGTGCTTGTTTCTCCAGTGAGGGGCCTTGCTGAGTAAAAGAGTAGCGGTTGTACATAGACTACGAATAGGCTTTCACTGGCACAATAAAACTTAGTAAGAGAGCAGAGACCAACAGCGGGCAGATGGTTGCTGTTTGTATCCCAATGTGTTTGTAAATCAACAGAGTTCGTCACAACTGTGTCCTTGGTGAAGTTAACCCTGAAGCATGAAAAACGAACAAGGATGGGAAAAGAAGAAAAAGGAGGAGGATGACGACTCTCACCAGGTGAGTGGTTGAATGAGTCAGAGGAGGCATCGGACAAAGAGTGAAGGGAGGCGGCTCTGCTGGCACTGCGTGTTACTGGGCCTTCACGCACCGGAGGCTGTGAACACACACAGAGAAACACAAATATTAATACAGCAGCGCAACAAGTTCCCAACTCAATGCACTGCTGGGGCTCGTCCACCGGGGGGTGGGGGGGGTAACTTCTTTGAGGGGGCGTCATAAAACGCATAAAAGCAATGACACTGGGTGTTTTCCATGAAAAGTATCCGTTTGTGGCCATCGTCATGTTCTTATTTAGTGTGCATCAGTCTATTTAAGGAGACGATTGCTAATCACTTCTGAAGTACACCTCAGTGTTCTTTAGTCTGATCTATTGTGATGGAGTGCTTCATTTTGAAGAGGTTCACACTCAGCCCAAAGTGACACCTACAATTTAGTATCCGTCTGCACAGTGTGTGCTAGAATCACACTTGCCGCTTTTTGATAACAGACAAAGGGAGAAGTGTTTTGAGACGTTCCATCCAATCTGCATCCTCCATCTGGAAGACCGAATTGTTGTGGTCTGCGGGGAGAACGTCCTCTGAAAGTATCAAGTTTGTGATGTGGAGAAAGAAAATACGCCGCCTCCGTCGGGCGGATCAACGCTTTTGGTGTCTGTTGTTACTAATTGAAATCACAAATGTGCAATGGTAGCCGACGTGTTGGCCTGAAGTAAATGTGACTGAGGTTACAGGAACTATTTACGGCTGTCTCAAGATCACGGGAGGCACTTTGCCAGATGTTAATATTTCTATGTGGAGAGATTTTGTCACCGCGATAGCGTTGCAACTGCGCAAGATGCAAACACAAAACTATGCAGATGTGTAGTTGAGAACAAGATTAAGTCTCAGTTTAAAGATGGGTATGGTCCGAGCAAGGGCGCCAGAAAAGGAGAGGTAGGAAATAGGGAAGGGGCCATCGGCCTCCTACTTTATGCCCCTGGCCCAACTTGTGATAGCAGATGGTGTGATCCCATTGCTAGTTGTATAAAATGGTTTTGGCCAAAGAAACCGAAATGTCGATGGAATTGAACCCTTAAGTGTGTATTATGTGCTTATTATGATACTTTTACCACAGCCACGTGCCAAGAAAACTCCAAATGTTATCATATTTGTAAGCCTTGTGTACTTTTATCATGTTTGTCTTGTTGTCTGTGTTGATTGTAATGTGTGTCCAGATGGATGCCTCGCCTTATATTGCAAACCAAGTCTACCTACGGGTACAAATAAAAGTAACCTGAACCTGATATTTAAAACTTACACATAAGAAAATTTGATCCCTTTGTTTAAAACATAAAACACCGTTCCTCAGCCTCAGAATATTTGCGTTAGTAGGCAACATCTAGTTAAACAGGCAGGGGTTAACAAGGCTGACCAGTGTTGATAAACGGGAGTACCACCGTCTACAAAGGGGTCACATATATGCTCGGTTTGGACATCAGGATTCAAGCAAACTCCAAACACACACACACATAGTGCGAGCTCAGAGACGTTTAGCTAAGCCTCACTGGTGCTGTCCTTGCCTCCAGTTTACAGCCAAACTGTCCAGTCACTAGAAGGTGATCAAAGCCAAACAAAGTATTCTCAGTGGCCATGGTATAAATTAAGTAAGGACAGATACATACTTTATACTGCTGCCACTTGCAGTAATGGACACAAACTAAAAGAGAGAATGCCAAGGTCTGTTATGATGTGGTGTACCAGAGCAGATGGTATCCATATCATATTATTACTTTCTTGTTGTTTGCTCAGATCTTCAGCATTTAACCTCCAAGGAATTTAGTTTCTGTGGTGACAGGCTGATACCTTGAAATTACACATCAAGTACACTGTGGTATACGGAACTTGTGTTGAAAGAAAAGTTGCTTCTGTATCAATTAGCTTTTCACTGGGAAACGTAGCATTATGGTCTGATGCCGTGTTTCAGGGAAGCCTCCCTTCCGTTGCATGACATCATGACCTGCTGCACCCATATTTATGGTGGACAACAAAGTGATTTTGGCTGCACAGATGATAAATGAAAACTGAGTGTGGTTGCGGTAGAGGAGGAAACTTTGTGCTGGACTAACCCTGAAGCGGGAGAAGTCAGAATAGGAGGCATCGTAGGTCTTGTGGTGAGCCTCCACCAGACTGGAGATGATCTGGGACTGCTCCTCGTTCAGGCGTGGCCTCATCGCCTCCCGGGCTGCCTCCTCCTCTTTCCTCTTCATTATCATGTCCTTCTTCCTCTGAACCTCCTCGTCTGTCAGGATGACTGTGAAAGAGGATGGAATGGAAGATAAATAAAAAAATCTTACATGGAGTGGACGTAAAAAACTCCCCAGCACACGCACAAATCAGTATTCACAAATATTGATGTCAAAGTCCCAAAAGAAACAATGAAAAAAAGGCAAAATCAGTTAAAATTATCATTAAACATACATTGCCACAATGTACTTTAAACCCTCCTTACATCATAAACTAAATTCGTTTAGGTACTGAATAGCATTCATGCGCAAACATTGAAAATCTGATGATGAAATCCATCAAAAAAAAGAACCAAAAGAGAGAAAGCTGCGGACAAGTCTTGGATTTAATGTAAAGGGAGCTCCATTAACACCCAAAGTATCACACGGTGTAACTGATCTGGACTCCTCTCATTGTGTATCTAGTGAAAGTGAACACATGAACAGGTCTAGACAAGTGGTTGCACAGTGCGTAGTGACAGCACACTGTCTTTGCACTCTCTGCATTACACTGTTAATGACAGGAAAGAACTAAAGGTAACAATCGTTACGATTAACTTTCATGAACTGAAAACACAATGAAAGAGTTAAAAGTTGTGACACGAAAAACAGAGACAACTCCCACACCGGACAACAAAGTGGTAGCGACCTGTCAATTACAAGGTATCCCCGCCCCAAAAGCATCCCCTGCTTTATGGTCTATTTGACTCTAAATGGACCATCATTAACTAAATGAACATCATGCTGTATTGAAGAAGACTTGAAACTAGTGATTGAGACCATAAACTCATGTTTACAATGTTTACTGAGGTAATGAATCAAGAGAGAAGTAGAGTCATTTTCTCATAGACTTCTATACAACCTGACTCAGACTTCTTTTTGTAACCAGAGGAGTCGCCCCCTGCTGGTCAGTAGAGAGAATGCAAGTTTAAGACACTTCTGCATTGGCTTCACCTTTCAGACCCGGGGGTTGCCGTCGGTTTGGGCCGCAATGAATCTATTAAGATTTGGTTTTCGTGTTTAAGGAAATATCAATACTGCCAAAAGTTTAAAATATAAACAGCAATTTTGCATGACAGCCCTCATTTGTAAAAGAGTATCTCAGAATGATAGCGTGCTACAATTCAGTTTCTGCTTGTTTACCTCTCTTCAAGGTATATAAATAATTTTATTTGAACTACTTTATGATTTTAAAGAACGTTATTTTCAAATTTTAGGCGTAGTGTTTTTTATATTAATTTTGGTAGTTCTTTTAATCAATCCAGGTACTTGAACATCTTGTTTATTTAATGGTTGGGGTTTCATGGGGTTGTTCTATTCCCCTTATTATGATGAGTTTCAAGAAAAGCTGTGATGCTGTACCTTGACAACACTTTGGAGGAGTCAAGACATTTTCAAACGCAATATTGTTAGTGTCCACTCATTCCGAGCGTGTTAGGAGGGATGTTCATATCTCAAAATATTGCCAGAACTGGCTGCGATAGCAGGAATAAAGAGTTCAGTTCGAAGGTGGATTGGGGCTTTAAGAGATAAAGTGCTACTTGTCCACAGTTAAACAAAGTTAGTTTTCAAAACTAGGTGAGGGGGCAGTAATGTAAGCTCCAAATATTTCCATCTCAGGTTACATGAACCATACATGTCCTGATTTCGGCAAGCAGAAAAGGCCCGTCATGTCTGCTGCCTTTTTAGTGCGGCCGATGCTGGATGTTTAAGTGCCTTTTGCCTTATTCATGCTGCAGGGGTCGAGACTGCGGGCGGAGTGGAACGGTGGTGCAGAATGGATTAGACATACTGTTTGCAGAGACTCTCTTAGGTTTTGACTAGATGAGAGGATCTTTTGGGAATTCCTGGGTTTGCGTGCCACTTCCACATGTCTTAGAGCACATGTGTCAAACTCAAGGCCCGCGAATCCACCAGCAAAAAAAATAATAAAAAATAAAAAGTTGTTTGTTTTTTTTTAATTTTGGAAAAAAAATTTAAAGTTAGACTTGAAAATAAAAATATCCCCATGGTCGAAATTATGAGATAGAAAGTTGAAATTATGAGATAGCATGTTGTGAAGTATTATCACCGTGGCTGGACATTGATTACTTGTCCTCCTAACAGTCACTTGGTAACAATATGGTTAATTAGTTATTACCTTTTTTTTTAAAACAGGTGGACAGGAGAGGGAACAGACCGTAAAGAGGTTTTCCAACAAGTGATTGAGTTGAAAAAGATGACAAATAATCCCAAAATGTCCACGAAGAGAAAAATTGATGCAGAGGGAAGAAAATGTAATTTAAGATGGGAAAGCGGATACATGTCTGTGCTTCAGGGAGAACAACGGGTCTGTCTTCAGTGTTATGAGGCAGTGTCGGTGATGAAGGATACAATTCACGTCGGCATTTTGACACCAAACACGGAGCTAAATTTAGCCTCCAAGAAAAACATCAAATTGTCCAAGAATGAAAAGGCAGACTGCAATCACAGCAGAATATATTTACACAAGCTACAGCCCAGTGCATGCTAAAGGTATGTGAGCAGGTGAGCTCCGACCAGATACAGATTTTTACAAATGTCAGTTTGTGAAGAAACACCATCGCAGACCGAGTTCAGGAACTAGCAGCAATCTAACAACACAGCTAGCTGAGAGACGAGATACATCATCTATCAATGTTCATAAGAGGCTCAAGGCAGACCTGACTCTCAGTGAGGAGCTCTTGGATGTAGCTGCCATGCACGGGACGACGGCAGGGCGGGACATTAGTGATGCAGAGAGGTGACAAAAATAGCTTTGAACAAAGTCAATGTAATAACTTGTGTTTGATATTTGTCTTTGTTATTTTCTTTAACAGTTTGATCTTTGATAGAGTAATGTGGGTTAATTAACCCTAAATTAAAATGATTTATGTTATAATAACAGAAATGTGCTTAAATATATTTTTACATTTATATAACTGCATGTACAATATTTTTACACTTGAATAAACAATAATCAAAAGCAGAGACAGTTATTTAACAATATGTTAGGAGTAGTTACAGTTATACAGTCTTACAGTTACAACCGGCCCTTTGAGGGCGACCCTGATGCTGATGTGATGTGGCCCGGAGTGAAAATGAGTTTGACACCCCTGTCTTAGAGCATTACATTACTTTGTAATGTTATATTCACAACACTCATTATGTATTACAGTTCACAACAGATCTATTGGCTTTAAAACCCAATGCACTGCGATACGTAAAGAATTAATATTGTTTTGTTTGCTTTTCAATACCTTAAAAAGAAATCATTAAAGACAACTACTGGGTTCTGAAACCAGCTGTGGTCGGCCATGAGTGGATGAACATAGCGGGAAGGCTGAGTTGGTCACACTAGCAACAGCATCTCGGTCTATTGGCTTTCTAAAATGTCAAAGTGCCGAGTCTCTAGATGTCTCTCTATGACTGGTATCTCACAGCCCTCTGAGATCTACCCATAAACCGTGCAGCTGCCGTTAGTCTGGTTGCTCCAGTAAAAAACTGTTGTTGTGGAAAGGCCATTTCAACACTCTAACCCGAACCCCAACAATTCCTGCTGTACAATATTTTTCCTTTAAAAAGGCGCCTCTCAGCAACACACTGACTGACCCAACATCTGGATGTGTGTTGCGGAGCGGCCACTTGTGGTGTGAAACAGGAAACCCCGGAATACAAGCTGTGCCTGAAGAGATTTTATAAAGATGAAAAACAGGCGGCTCAAATGTTCCATTTGCCGATGCGACATCTGTAATGAGGTGGTCTGAAAGAAATCCTTCTGTGTTACATTTCTTGTTGGTTTATTCCTTAAATTGAAACACATTTTGACACTATATCACAGTCATTGCTTTAATTGAGTTATAAGATTAAAGACGTCATAAAATAGAAACCGTGCCAAATACGTGCCTGTATATGCTCATTATAGAGGAACAAGCTGAGCGAACACACCCACACACACACACACACACACACACACACACACACACACGCACAACTACTAACTACTAATCATGACAATGTGCTAAATTCAAAATTCAGAGCCTTAATATAGCAGCAAATAACTATTTACTATGTAATGGTATAGTGCAGTAATGTCTACCACATTGGTGCCGTACATACACACTGTTCCAATGTTAGCACAATTAGCAACTAGCCGCCGCCGGACCGTGTGGAGGCATCCTCTGAATCATAGAAATTCTCAGAATTTTGAATTTAGAAACTGTTAACTTTAACATGCTGTGTTCGGGTACGTGTTTGTCTACTATTTGTTTCAGAACACAATGTCTCTGTGGAGTCCAGAGAAAAGAAGCAGGAAGAGTGGCAATGGCAATAAGAAGATAGGGGGGGGATTATACATTTATGTATTCAGAGCAAATATTTACCACTGAACCAAAAAAAGGATACGTATTATCTAGCAAGTTAATTACACACAGCTTTGCTTCTTCAGCATCGTGTGGCACCCTAAATATAGCACACAGGAAACAAAGAAACAGGACATATATATATATATATATATATAATACTGCTCAATAACATAACAGTACTACCTACTACTTCCATGGTATTTTATAGTTAAAGTTAGTGTTCACGTCATCCAGTCACTGATGGAGTAATGCACTGACCCCTGAATGCCTCGGCCCATATAATCCTTTTGACTCTCTGCCATAGTGACCGATCGCTCGACTGTGCAGACAGACAGACATCACGACTGCCAAAGAGAGACAGGCCCAGAGCCATGAGGTCATAATACGCGCACATATGCACCAACAGTCTGGCAGCAACAGAGACACTCTCTCACGATTCGTACCAAACTGACATTTAATTTAGCTCTATCAAATGATGCAATTTCTTTTAAAGGTTTACAGGCAAGTCGTGTACCGTTTTTAAGAGATAGAGACCTTGTTTGTAGTAACTTCCTCTAAATGTACTTTTATGTGGTCAAACTGTTTTACCATCTTCCTCTGTTAATACAGAAATGTCTAAATGGTTTGTTGTTACCTATTCCTAAATCGTTAATTAAATATGTTGCTGC